GACTTCAAAGTCAAATCGGTTGTCCACTATGGTTGGTGTGTTGCCCTGTAAGGAGTCACCAACAATTGTAGAAGGTCTAAGGATATTTGAGTCACTCGAAGCCATGGATGAAGGGTATGTAAAGACTCTGCGTTGCAATGTTCCTAAAAAAAAAAGAAAGAAATTCTTGAGTTAAAAAAAAAAAAAGTCGGACTGCATGTGTGGCAAAATGTGAAAAAAAAAAAAAAAAAAAAAGTTGGAGTGCATGTGTGGCAGAATGTGCCGACTAAAAAAAAAAAAAAAAAAAAAAGGAGATGTTGATCAAAAAAACAAAAAAAAAAGTTAAAGAAAAGAAATCAGGAGGACTGACCTTTGCTGCCGACTTGGGGGATGGAGAAAGGTAAATGAATGTGACGTGACTAGGGTATATATTTATAGGAATAGTTTGGGTGGTGGACAAGAAAAGGTAATTTGGTGATTGAATCAATGTGGGAGATAATCTATTTGAAATTGAAATGGTGATTAATTATGATTAGATATTTTTTTATTAGGTGGTGAGTGTTATCTATGTTAAAAAAAATTAAAAAGAAACATTGCAGGTAAAGTTTCGGAGGTGGGGTCATTCAAGAACTCTGGGTGCAGAGTTATCAAATATCCTTGCAGGTAAAGATTTTAAAATCTCTATATGTAGAGTTATTAAATACTTTTGTGGGTAAAATTTTAAACCCCTGTAGGCAGAGGTATTAAACCCAAAGCTCTGCATAAAAAATTCAAATCCTAATACTTGGATTAAATTTGAATTTAAGACCTCTGCATTACATTTTATTTTTCTTGGGCAGCCGATGGATTTGGATGACATCATTAAGATATACAACCAACGTTATTGAGGAAAATCGAAGGTATAAAAAATCTTCGGTTACTTTGACTTCTCGATGGGGGGCAAGTGTTGTAACTGTAACTTTAAATTGGAGAAAAATCAGGATCACGTGATTTCTAGAGATTATCTGTGATTTTAAATTTAAATTATAGATAAGATTTGTTAAATGAGGATTTAAGGAAAATCTCTAGGCAGACGTTAAAAGGACCTTAGGGAATAGCAAAAGAAGAGAGACTGAATCTCAAACTCTGTATTTCTTCTTCCATTAATGAAAT